CAAAGCGTTAAAGTGGCAACGAGACAGCTGATGTATTTATCAGACCGGAAGCAGGCCGAACCTGGGTGCTGTTATGTCCGAATGTTTGTTGTCAATAAAGTTTCCGCCTTCAACCCGTCCCGCCCCCTGACTGGCTGTCATGGCGGCGCTCGCGCAGGGCTGGGGCTGGTTTACGGCTTTAGCTGTGGGAGTTTCTCTGTTCAAATGTCTCTTCATCAACGCTTAGTGAGTGGAAACAATCCAGCGTGGGCTGCAGCCTTCCCGCGGTACTAATCCGCATCTACGGGTTTGATATTAGCATCAGGCTAACCGGCTGCTAGTAGCAAGCAACCTGCTTCTAAATGTTTAAAATTAAATATCAATGTTTAAAATAATAAATGTGAAGTTTGTTCGAGTTGATCTGAAGGGATAAAATATTACACGATGACTTGTTAATTTAAAAATGATAAAAGTTTATTCTGGGTTAAGTTGACGTGTTTTTTACCTGAAGCAAGAGTCGCTGGTCAGCCGGAAGATGGCGCTGTTTGACTGAAAGAGTCTGAAACCAGTTTAATGTTTGAGAAAAATTAATTTATTGCTTTAATTCGGGTCGGAACGTTTTAAACAGACTTAAATATTATTAATGATAGTTTGTGTTGATAACTGGATTGGACTGAGCCAGAACTATTCTGAACTGACGTTAGTAGAAAAGAAAACACTAGAATCCTAATATGCAGCGTTTTAAAGTTGATTAAAATAACCCAGTCCCAGTTTGATGGTTCTGTTGTGTCCAGTCACTCCACAGACTTTGAGGTCCACAGGAACTGGCTGGCCATCACCCACAGCCTGCCGCTGTCCCGGTGGTACCATGAGGTCAGTCCGTGTTCGGGACCCGGACCGGGCAGAACCCGGACTCCGCCGCTGTCTAACTGCCGCCGCTCTGCCTCCAGAACTCGTCGGAGTGGACGCTGGACTACCCGCCGCTGTTCGCCTGGATGGAGCGTGGCCTCGCGCTGGCGGCGCGCCGCTGGGACGGCGACATGCTGCGGCTGGACAACCTGAATTACGCCAGCCCGGCCACGGTTCTGTTCCAGAGGCTGTCGGTGGTCTGCACCGACCTGCTGTTCATCTACGCGGCCAGAGAGTGAGTCCAGAAGTCCGTAACCATGTCGACTGAATGTTTGCGTGCAGGATGAAGCTCTGAAAATGACCGAGGATCTAAAAAATGCCTCACTACAGGACAGGACTAGAGTTTACTCAGTTCTTGGTTTGGTCGTTTTCTTTGTTTCTACATATTTACTCCAGGAACAGGACAGAGGCTCAGTGTGAAATTAACTGCTTTCCATATTTATCAGTCCAGAAACTGAAGAAAGGTTTCTCCATGTTTATAGTTTTGATTATTACAGAAACTTGCTTCATAAATGAGAAATAATAAGTTATATTTAAAGTTTTCAAAAATAATTTTCAGATTTTGTCACCTTGTAAATGGAAATGGTCTGTGCATCCAGAGTTTCTGACTACAGGCTGGTTCTGATCCAGTTTAGAAGCAGAATCTTAAATCATTCAGATTTATGACCCAAGGACCACACTTTCCTCTGAGCACGTATTTGACTGCAGTGGAGAGAAAAACTCCCCTTGAACAGGAAGAAACCAGCAGAACCTACTTCCTGGTTCTGAACAGTCTCCACTTCCTGCTCTCTCTTGGCTCTCATTGGTCGAGAAATGAGAAATCCCAGATCTGCTTTTTCTGGAGTTCCCGCCGATGTCTGTTGTGAAGGTTCTGGCTCGGGTTCTGTTCCTGAATCGGGTCGGATCTGTCCTTCAGGTGCTGCCGGTGCGTTCGGGTGCAGAAGGCTCCACAGGACGTTCTGAGTCAGCCATCCTTCGTCCTTGCTGTGCTGCTGCTCTGGAACTTCGGCCTCTTCATCGTCGACCGTATCCTTCCTCTGCTGGGGGTCTGGAAGGTTCTGCTCCCTAGAACCCAGGGAGCCAGAACCTGGCGTCCAGGTGATGACATCATCAGAAGTGTTTTCTTTCATGCTTCCTGTCAGACATCCACTTCCAGTACAACGGCTTCCTGTTCGGCTTCCTGCTGCTGTCTGTGGCCAGACACCTACAGGTAGGCTTTTATTTTGAAGGGCCGGCCGTCAGGAGGAAGTGACTAATGGATGGATGTTGTATGCTCAGTCTCGCCACCTGCAGGGGGCGCTGCTGTTCGCAGTGCTGCTCAACCTGAAGCACATCTTCCTGTACGTGGCGCCAGCTTATGGGATCTTTCTGTTGAGGAACTACTGCTTCACCCTGGACCAGCCAGGTCTGGTTCTGGTTCTGGTTCTGGTTCTGGTTCTTGTCCTGGTTCGGACTCCTCATGCTCCCTGTTCTTCTGCAGATGGCTCCATCAAGTGGACCAGCTTTGCTCCATTGCGGTTGCTGGCGCTGGGCGGCATCGTTGTCTCCGTCTTTGCTCTGTCCTTCGGCCCCTTCGTTGCCATGGTGAGTCCTGTCTCATCTTTAGGTCAGACAAGCATCAAACTGCAGAACGAGCTGTTCACACCCGATGATGATGCTGGTGGTGCGTTCAGGGCCAGCTGCCCCAGGTGCTGTCGCGGCTCTTCCCCTTCAGGCGGGGCCTCTGCCACGCCTACTGGGCCCCCAATGCCTGGGCGCTCTACAGCGGCGCTGACAAGGCGCTGGCGGCGCTTGGTGAGGAAGCCGCTCCGCAGACGCTTCCGTGATCCGTCCGACCTGGTCAGAACCGCTCTTTGTTCTCTTCCAGGCGTCCGTCTGAAGCTGCTCCAGGGGGCGGAGCTTCCCCAGGCTGCCATGACAGGGGGGCTGGTCCAGGAGGTCCAGCACGCCGTCCTGCCGTCCGTCCCTCCGGCCGCCACGCTGCTCTGCACGCTGCTAGCCGTCCTGGTGAGTCGGAACCGACCCGGCCCGCCTGCAGCCTCCAGAACTATCCGCTGATACCTTTTTCCTCCCTGCAGCCGGCACTGGTCTCCATCTGGCGCCGTCGCCGTGGCAACCGGGCCTTCCTGCGCTGCCTGCTGCTCTGCGCTCTGGCCTCCTTCCTGTTCGGCTGGCACGTTCACGAGAAAGCCATCCTGCTGGCCGTGCTGCCGCTCAGGTCAGACGTCACCCCGGGGGGCGGAGTCAGCTGGTGGAATGATACTAATCCAGTTATTTTATTTTGAAATGTCTAGAATGTATTATGTCATGACATTTGGGTTTGTGGAGTTTTGTTTTTGTGCTGGAATCTGTCAGCCTGACCTGGCTACCCCAGCGGGGGGCGCTGTTGCCCTGTATTAACCCTCCTGTGTCTGTCGCCCTGCAGCATCCTTGCGGTGGAGAGCAGAGAGGATGCTGGGATCTTCCTGGTCCTATCCACCACTGGACATTATTCCCTGTTCCCGCTGCTCTTCACCCCCACAGGTAAACAGGAAGCTCTCATCACAAAGCTTTATTTTGAAAGGTTTTGATCAGTTTTTGAATTATAAAATATAAAGAGAATAACTCAGCAGCCAGATGTTCTCAAAGCGTGATGACATCACTTCCTGTAGGCCAGCTCATGTTTCCTAGACATTTGAATGTTTTGGTGCAGTAGGTGGAGACCTTTCAGACCGGAGCCCGACAGAGAGTTAAAAGCTCACTGACCTGATAATACTGGTTTCATATTTCTAGTATGAAACCAGTAATCATATCGATCAATAAAATAATCATCAGCTTATTTTCTGATCAATAAACAGGAGAGCCTTATTTTCCGACTTTTCCATCATTAACCTGAGACGTGTCATAATTCAGCAGGATTATTATTATTATTATTTAGATCTGAGTGTTAATAATAATAGTTAATAATAAGAATGGAGGCCATCTGAGTTTCTCCTGCATGTTTTCCAGAGATGATCATCAAGGTGTGTCTGATGCTGATGTTCACCATCTACTCCTTCACTGCCCTGGGAAACCTGCACAGGTAAACACACACCTGGTCTCTCCAGGTAAATACACACCTGGTCTCTCCAGGTGAACACACACCTGGTCTCTCCAGGTAAATACACACCTGGTCTCTCCAGGTAAATACACACCTGGTCTCTCCAGGTGAACACACACCTGGCAGATATCAGAATGTAATCAGATTACCCTCTTCTCAGGTCTCAGGGTTCTCTGCTCCGTCCCATGGAGGTCGCCTACCTGCTGGGGCTGGCTGCCGTGGCGATCACCTGCGAGTTCGTCTTCCCATTGTCACCGTGGCGACAGAAGCTTCCGTTCCTCCCCCTGCTGGCGACCTCTGTGTACTGTGCCGTGGGAGTCAGCTACTCCTTCCTGCGGCTCTACGCCACTCTGCTGCGCAGCAACGACAAACGCAAACAGCTCTGAGGTCACAAGGTCATCAGGGGCTGGGGCTACCTCCCTCCCTCACACACACATGCAGAACTGCTGGGGACCAGAGATCGGACTTACCTGGTTCTGGTTGGAGTTGAGCTGAGACATTAATAATCACCATGACAACAGCCTGAATGGGAAAGGAGGAGGATGAAGACCTGGCAGCAGAACAGACGACTTGTTAAAGACTTGGACTTTGAATAAACGGTTCGTCTCCCTTCAGTGTCTGTTTGACTTCAGTCTAAAGATGAGCATCGACTCGGACTCTTGGTCTTACTGCTGTTCTTCACGCTTTATTTAATGACTTGGATCATCTCAGAACTACATAAACATCTCTGACCTCCGACCTCTCACTGCTTAGCTATCTGCTACAAGGGACCTTCCTGCTGAGAGTATCAAAATAAAAGCACTTCCTGTTCTGCTCATTGAGAAGTTTAACGCGGTTGTTTACTTCCTCCATTTTGATTTGTTCATTGTGATCTCAGCAGCCAGTCAGACGTCTGGTTTTTTTCTGTTATGTGTGGAAATCAGACCATCGTCTGCCTAGTTTTCCAGTCATAGGTTCACTGATCTGTTTCCTTTACAGTTTAATTAATCAGAGTTTCAGCGAAACCGATTAGAAATGTGATGACATAAGCAACTGATGTTCTACACCCAGTTTGTTTAAAAACTTTATTAATAAGGCAACAAAAACACAAAACAGTCAGTTTTCATTCAGAATAAAAAATGAGTTTTGTTACTGAGACTGAATGAAGATCAGCTGTAACCTTCCTCACGTCATCATCATCATCAGCACTCCATGCTGAGGAATAAAATCAGGTGTTTTTATCAGAGTTCCTCCTGCTGCTCCACTTCAACTATAAATATACTGCAGGGCTAAACGAGGAGGAAATGACAGAATAAACTCTTCAAACTAAAGGCCACAGTTTGGGTTTTTCTATAAACTTAAATTCACAGAAAAAGGAAAAAACAAATTGTTGTAATATTCACATTTTATCATTAGTAGCTGATACGGTCATGTGTTTATCTAAAGACTTCCGAGTTTTCCTATGATACAGCAGCGTACTAAGCCCAATGTAGATTAAAAAAATAAATATATTGTAAAAGAGCAAATTTCTGAATTTGAAAAAGTCAATTTTGAAAAAAAAAAAAATCCAGCAGAACAAGGAAATTACTGAGTTTTAAAAATGTAATATTTCTGCCAAAAACTCAGAAATTTTGAGATTGACCTAAAATTTTTCAGGAAAAAACAAGACAATTTTTTACAAGTTGAAAAATTTTGAACTCTGATTTTTCTCCTCGAACATTTCTGAACATTTTTTGGTGCAAATGTACTTTTTTTTCTGTCTACAACAGCCCAATTCGCCGTTTTACTCATAGGGCCCGGTTCTGCTCTGACCCCGTTCTGGTCTGAACTCCATGGACCGGTTCGAAGCAGCAGATATCAGGATATCCTGCATCTTTAAATGTTTGAATTAGACTATGGGTGTTTTTTGGTGACATGTTTAAGGGGGAGCAGCAGAAGCAAAGGAGGTGGATTATCTGACCTAGACAGACGTGTTGTTCTGCATCAGGGAGTCGGACTCAGTTTCACTCTGAGTCGCGTAAAGATCATGGATGAATAACCTGAATATGTGAAACCCACTAAAAACAGATATTAATAGATAACGGTCTATAATCAATTTAGCAAGAACAATTTAGAGATCAAGCCACATTTTTGCTCATGTTTGACAGTAAATCTGACTCTTTGTTTCTTGCTATATCGATCATAAATTATAGCATCAAGTCAGGCTGAGGCAGCACAGTATTAGAAGGATGAAACACTGCCACCTAGAGGTGGGAGTTAGCATCACTTAAATACGATGTTTTTAACCATTCTTGTGGAAAATTTGCAGTAAACTCATAATTGAAAACATTTGGAAATCTGTTGATTATACAGGAGTTTCCAAGACAGCGGATAAAAAAAAAACTGGAGTATCTGGCGGTTAACTGATAAAACTGCTTTGATTAAATGAGACTATTTAAGCTAACACCTGTTATCCTGAATATCCGTACACGTGTCCCTCAGAAAAAGCTCCGGTGAGCCAGATGTGGCCCCCGGGCCCTGACTTTGACACCTGCTTGATGCACCATTCACTAGTGACTCTGCTGAGGCTCCAGTTTGAGTTTGGACTTCCCTCCGCTCTCCTCCCAGTCGCCAACGTTCACGTACCAAATCTGAAACAGTCAGATGATGCCGTTTGCGAACAACTCGTTAGCCTTTTAAATGAGCCGTCATAATTCATGCTTATCCAAGAGTTCAAGTGAACTCGACATTTGTTCAGAAACACGACTTCAAGTTTGTGACCTTGAATGGGAAACGTCAATCAGGTGTGGGAAAGCCACAGCAGTTAGCTTCTGTTGGTGAGCTAACAAACTGATTCCAGACTGGCTGATGAACTTTGATAAAGTTGGACCCTGAGAAGAATTTATCTTCTGATCAGTTTCTAAACATGGAAATGGTTTGACTTAATATTTATGGTTGCAGAGTTAATGTTTTTTTTTTCTTCAAAGCAGATGTGTATATTTGATTTGTGGTTGTTGATAAATGTTTTCATTATTTAAGAAATATTGTAAAAACATCTTTAATTTTGGACCTTCAGATACTGAACATCTGGAATGTGAAAATATTTCACAGTAAATTTTTTTTGTACTAAATATCAAACAGTGCAGAAATGTTTTTGTGAAGGGTGAAAACATCTTGCCGTATGAAATCCATCATGACGGAAAGTCCGATCCGCAGCAGCAGCTTCCGAAAACCCAGACATATTTTTGAGTCGGGTCAGAACTGGACGGCTGCTGGGTTCCCTTTAAAGTTCTGTGGGTTTGATCGGTGTGGATGGGTTGATTTTAGGCGTCCTCCCAGAGTCTGGCGTGTGATTGGTCGATTTGGAGCAGCCATAGCTATTGCTCAGTTCTCAACAGCGGCCTGGCGGCCTTTAACGATAATCTCCAGAACCGGCGTCAGGTCCATCAAGTTCCGCAACATTTCCATGATGTCCGGGTGCTCCTTGGCTCCGTCGATGAACTCCTCCAGCGTCAGCTCACCTGGGAGGGGTCAGAGGTCAGAGGTCAGGCGCCATGCCGGTCCGGTTCTGGATGGGAAGCGGAGCGCCATTCTTACCTTCACCCTTCACGTCAATCTTCTCATAGATGAGTGTCACGATCTCCTCCGGGTCGATGTCCCTGTTCCGGGTGATGTCCTGGATGGCCTGCAGGGGGAGACAAACACATTGTTCAAACAGAGACTGGTTCTGGTTCTGATTCTGACCCGTCATCAAACTAATCAGAATGAAGGAACCTTCCACTGGACAATTTGATGGCACCAAACATCCGCTGGTATCCCAGGCTTATCCACTAATAGGAGAGTTAATTGTTTGTTTGACGAACTTAGCTTAGCCAAATGAAGTTTGGATAGAGCTATAACCTCTGATGTGTCATCGACACATTGTTTGTTTCAACATGGTTGAATTAGCGCTTCAGCATTTGTTTTCTGCTCATTATCATGTTGGCGAAGCACTTTAGCGTTATCAGAACTAATGTTTATGAGTTGTGCTGTAGGGTTAGCACAGCTACCATTTTAGCTAGCACAGCCCACCGATAAAATCTGTGATTAAATCAGATAATAAAAAATTAAAACTGATGATAAATAACAGTAAAGCCTTCCAGGTAGTTTCATTGGACCCAATGATGTTCTATTGTTCTAGTGAACCAGACAACTTTCTGAGAACAGAGAGTGCATTCAGCAGATTAGCATCAGGCTAATTTAAGAGTTAATCTCTGTTGGCTGCTGACTCGGATTTCCTTAAACCTTCAGGAACTTTCTCTCCTTTCTCTTTGGACTCGATTTTTAGCCTTTAGTATTTTTAGCCTTCAGCTGCGAGGATGATGAGGAGCAGGCAGATGTTCGCCCCTCTCATCAGAACCAGACCGGAAAACAAGTCTCCAAAACTGAAGCGGCTTGTTCCTGAGTGTTTGAAGCATCCCCATGTATGATCGATCAGAACCGTCCAGAACCACTGGACTCTGGGCTATATTTAGCTTCAAAGTAAATATTGTGTTATCAAGCTAGTTATTTAGTTAGCGAGCTAAATATTTACCTTCAAACTAGTTAGCAAGAAACTGTCATTAAAATAAATATGTTGCTTGCTAACTATTTAGCTTCAAATTAAGCATTTACCAAGCTAAGTATTTAGCTTCATACTCATTAGCAGAGCAACCATTTATCTTCAAAATAAATAGCTATTAAGTTTCAAATTCAAAACAAATCTAAATATTTAGCTTCAAACTAAATATTACAGATTAATGAATAATGTGGCTGAAATGTGACTTAATGAAGCCACATTGATTTCTTTTATAACATAAGCCAAATTATTGTTGTTTTCTTAAACTTCGCAAACAGCAGCAGGAAATCCAGAGTGGAGCTTCTGAAGCAGAACCGACCACTAGAAGCTGAAGTCCAGAGTTAATCTGAATAAATTCTGTGTGCCATTTCTACCTGATAGATTAGGATTAATCTGCTGTTCAGGTCTTTAAGGTGGTTTTAAGGAGCTCAGACGGTTTTACTTTTCTACTTTTTTCGGCTCCTGAACAAAGAACAAGCAGCTTAGAGAACAGAGAGGCCAGAAATGAATGTTTCAGGATGACCTCTGACCTCCCAAATCATCTCAAGGCTCTGGACGGTTTTCTCTTAATGCTGTCATGTCCCCGGATTTCAGGTTCCTGCTGGCTGCAGGTGGTTACTGTATTCTGCCAGTAGGTGGCAGACTTTTACGGTTTAGGTAGATTTAATCTGATGGTTTGACACATTAATTAGCTGAGTAATGGAGCTGCTACGGAAGCCTGGGGGTTCCAACATACTTTGGGATTTTAAATGCAGAAGAAGCAAGCGTTACCGTGAAGATGGTCTCCAGCTCGTCCTTATCGATCTTCCCATTCCCGTCCTGATCGAACAGTTTGAAGTACCACTTTAGCTTCTGGTTGATCTCTCCTTTCAGCAGCAGGCTGATGGCCGCGATGTACTCCACAAAGTCAATGTAGCCGTCCTGCAGACACAACCCAGGGCATTAAAACCCATGAAACACAGACCTGGTTCCTGCAGACAGAACTATAACCCTGGAGGAAACGACCCAAGACCAGGAGGAACCTAACTGAGCAGGTTTTGGTGGACAGCAGAACCTGGTTTGGACCTGGACATCCTCTAGTTTCACTCAGAGATGCTGATCGGGTCCAAATCAGCAGAGCTCTGAGCTGGAGGTCAGAAGTCATTTGGTTCTGTTGGACCGTAGTGATTAGTCAGTGTCAGTGACCCGGTTCTGTTCAGGTCTCTACCTCTGTTTGTTTCTGGAATTGGGAACCCAGTAAGAACTCTGTATTATGAAGAACCGGTCCAGTCTGGTCCACCTCTAATGAAAGAGTCCAGGACCAGAGCTGACCCAGTTACTACAGTTACCAAACCCAAACACAGCACATTAGTGGTTCTGGTTTCTGGTGCTGATTATACAACAGAGAATCTGAGGGACTTTATGTTCATATGACCAAAGAATAAAAATCCATATTAGAATCCAATCACCTTCTGGTTGACCTGGTTCTGATCTCAACCCTGAGGAACTTCTCTCATCAACTCTGAGGAACCCCAACCATCAACTTTGAGGAATCCCAACCATCAACTCTGAGGAACCCCAACCATCAGCCTAAAGGAATTGTGCTGATGGGTGGGGTTCCTCAGGGTTGATGCACTCATCAACCCGACCATCAGCCCTAAGGAACCTCAAACATCAGTTCTAAAGAACCCCACCATTCAGCCCTAAGGAACCCCACCATTCAGCCCTAAGGAACCCCAAACATGAGCCATATGGTTGCAGTTAAAGTTCAATATCTAGACTCTGTAACGTCAGAACAGTTAAAGACAGACTTACAGTAAACTAGCACCCACCAGTTTTGCCACCTCTTCAACAAATCTGTTCCTAACAGACATTCATAAAAAACCATAGCCTATCTCATTTTCATCAGGAACCCCTCTCATCAGTCCTGAGGAACCCCAACCATCAGCCCTGAGGAACCCCTGTCTCTCCCCCAGCCTGCGCACGCACCCCGTCCATGTCGAAGGTGAAGAAGACCTGCTCCACGTAGCTGTTGGCGTTCTCCGTGATGCCCTTCAGGTTGAGGATGGCTTTGAGCTCGAACAGCGTGATGAGTCCGGACGGAGACTCCTTCATGAACTTGTTGTACCAGTGGTGCATGTCCTCGGCCAGGATGTCGTCCAGGTTGGAGCCATGGTTCCCCATGGCTGCAGCTCCGGTACCGCGGATCCAGAGAGCGGCAGAACCGGGCTGCCGTGACCGCAGAGCAGAAGTCACAGCTCTGTGTGTAACCCGCTTAGGTTCTGGAGAATCAGCGGCGCTCCGAAAATAACCCGCTAATGGGATGAGCCGCAGCGCTGCCAGCGGTTCTGGACACAGAGATCTGGGTCTAGAACCACGAGGCTTACGTAACCGGCTGGCCCAGTTCGAACCGCAAAGATGAAAAAAACAAACAAACAAACAAACAAACCAGCAGCGGTTCGGGAGAGTTTCATCCCAAGTTCTGTTCGGTTCTGTTACAGAATAAACTCCTGATCCTCCCGTTACGTCAGCTGAGCCGGTTCCGTTGGAGCAGGAGGTCCAGTAATGGGCTCAAACCAGTAAAACCAGTCAAACTCATGAAGCCTCGCTCACAGAAACACCTACAGCTAAAGTAAGTACACCCTCTGTCATCTGGGGTGTACTTACTTTATCCTCTTTCATCTCGCTTAAAGTACATCCTGGATTCCTGGATGAAACAATGTGTATTTACTTTAACATAGACGAAAGAGGTCAAAGTTCTATGTTAGTAAGTACACCTGCTTCATTTCAGGTGTACTTACCTGAATTGAAGCAGGTGCACTTAGTCTAACTGTTAAAGTAAGTACACCTTTCCATGAGTGATTATTGAATTGTGAATGAAACATTTTAATAGTTGAAGCTTCTTCACATCAGGGGTGTACAAACTTTTTGCATCCTCGGCCAGAATCCCACGGCTGAAATAATCATATTGATTTTCAAACTCAAAACCCCCAAATAATGATAGTGTTAATGTAAAATTGTGATTTTTTTTTTAATGCTTAACAATAAATTTCATATTTTAATGAAACAAAGTGGCAACATTCTGTCTTAAGTTGTCTAACTGTCCGCCTTTTTTTTTTTTTACTATTCTCGGTAACAAAAAGGAAAACTTTCTTCAAAAAAAGTTTATTTTTACTAATCAAGTTTAATAAAATAATGTGCTACAATGTTTTTTTTTTAAATAAAATGTTGCTGGATGTTTACAACCCTACTTACTATGAAATTAAATACAGCTATTAAAAGAAAAACATGTTTTACATAAAATAATACATTTTCGCCCTGAAAATCTCGTGCTAAAAAATGATAAAAGTGTCCACTAGTACCATTCTTGAATTGCAGTTGGGGGCCGTATGAAATTGTGGAGCCCTTTGGACACCCGGCTCTACATATTTGGTCCTTGGTTGCAGAGGTTGATGCTGTTTAGTACTTAATGGTTTCACCGCCAGCCAGACTCTTCTTCTCTCTGATTGGTTCCTCCAGCTGCAAAGCCTCCTGGGGCATGCTTTCCAGGTGTTTGATTGACCTTAGGCCTTGGCAGCAGCAGCCGTCCATCACGGTGAGGTGTTGCGGTAACTTGGGTGATTCTTGGCAGCCAGGCGGTCGTTTCCACTCCTGCTGGGTTTTATTTCGGGCCGCAGCGCCTCAATCTGAGGATCAAACAGTTTAGCAGAATGAGATTGAGGCGCCGCCAGCAGTAGACAGCCAGCTAACGCTTCAGCGTCAAATCTTGCGTTTCCAGGAAGGAGTAGCCCCAGACTCCGTCTCCTCAGCCCCAGACTCCGTCTCCTCAGCCAGCCGAGGGAAATCCTCACTGAGCATGCTCAGTACACGACACTTTATTTTCATTAAATCCAAAGATTCATGTGACATTTATCATTTATTTGCTCACTTAAACTAATACATTTAAAATTTTACTGAGACAAACAAAATAGTTTATTCTAAGGAGTTTTGTAAATCATTTAAGATTAAAAACAAAATCAGTCAAAAGGGGTGAAAAGGGCAATAATTTAAAAATGTGTTTTTACAAAACATTTTTAAACTACTTTAAGATTTTTTTTTGTGTAAAATGTATCATCCTAAAAGCTATTTAACAAGGGTCCACACAAAATCATCCAAGTGACCGTCGGGCTGCACTTTGGGCACTCCTAGTTTAAAGGTTAAAGATTTGACAGATTTCTTCCTTAAATTGTTTTTTGATTATCTGAATGAATCATTTTCATTTCCATTTTTTTTGATTATTATTTTTTTAAATGTATTTTTTCATTCTTTGCCAATCCATGATATTTACCACTCTAGATTATCTTCTGTTCTTTCTTTATCTGATCATTAAGTTGACCGTTAACCTGATTTAAGTTTGTGTGGTTTAGCTTCTTTAGGGTTAGCTTGGTTTAATAAGCTGAAATAGTTAAGCTGATTAGTTAAGTTTTTATCTTACTAAATTTAACTAATCTGACACAGATTAAAATAAACAACTAAGGAAAGCGACTCTGCCATAGCTCATCTGAGATAAATTCATCTTAAACTAGACCGTTCTAAATTAAATTAAAGGTAAAGTGAGGTAAAGTAGCACACTAAAAGAAATTAATCTTAACCAATGTTACTTTAAACTCGTCTAATTAAACTGATATTATCGTAGATTATTTTAGCTGGCTCAGTTTATCGGAGTATGCCAATCTAAGGCTAAACTAGGCTAATTTTAATCATGGTAAGCTAAGCTCAAATGGCTAACCAACATCTAACATCATCCTAATTTAGCTTAGCTTAAGGCAAGCCAAGCAAAAAATAATGCCAACTTGGTTTAAATATCTTAGTTCAGAGTGGGTTGGTTTGTTTTGGCTTATTAGGTATTATAAGTAGGGTAACCACAGCGTGACTTTTTAGCAGCTTTTTGTTAGCAGTTAAAACAACAAAACAAAAAGAAATTCAATTTATGTTTATAAAAAGTTTTTTTTTATTATTATTTACCACAGAATAGGGCATCGTGTTTTTTTTCTCACAGCTCTGAACATTGATAAAACTTTGATTTTGATTCTTTACACTAAAAATTGGCATCACTAAACAGCAAGAAACACAAAACACATTCACACATTATTCTTAAAAAAATATGAAATGCAGCGTCACAGTGTGGAAAAGCTTATATTAGTAAAAACTGCTTTTGGAGCTTCACTTAAGCTTCGGGAAGAGTTTCCTATCTGAGTTTCTAACGGTAGCTCAGAGTTTTCCGACATTTCTCTCTCCGGCATCAGCGGCCATTTTTCCCAAAGTGTTTCTGCCACAGGGTTTCCCGCTCTGCACTCCAGGGGTTCAATGTCACAGGGGCCTCGCTCCGATTCAGACGTCCGATTCCTCATCGGGAAGAACTCTGTCGAAGAAACGCGAATGTAGGTCAGAGAAAACTCTGGTTTCACTCCCGGGTTCTGGCTCAGAACCGGCCCAGTTTGGCTCGTTGTGGGTCGTTAAAGTCTGAATGCTTCACGGAGTCTTTTAGCCACATCTTTTTCTGACTCAAACAACCAATTAGCATGGAGATAGCATCCAGTGACAGGAATTAAAGATAACTTAAGAAAATAATTTATTATAAAAAAATCATCATGTAACTGTTTACATGGTTGCTGCCATTATTTTTAATGATTTCCTGCATAAACATGTATATTCATGTGTGGTATTTAATTTCTTACTCTGTTAATTTACTGTTAATTTACTATAGAAAACACTATAGTAAATTAACATTTACAAAAACAAGACTTTTTCTTCTACACCTTTCTTGCGTTGTGCAAAATCAGGAAATGATGCTTTTATTTCAAAATAAAAGCATCATAATAAGATGAAGATCAAATTCTTTCTGACAAATGAGTTTGGTTTATTAGTGTAGATGAAACTATAAGCATTCATATGTGGTTTTACTGGATCAGAACCAAAGTAGAACCGGACCAAGAGAGGAAGCTCCAATTTAAATGCTGGTTTCCAGTTTTTCAAACTTAATCTGTTTTCAGTCCTTTTCCTGGTTCTGATCCAGCCGGTGAGGTATGAATACTTATGGTTTCTCCCTCAGTCTACTGACAAAATCGTTGAAACGATCAGAAATCAAACCTCCATCTTTTCTTCCTCCTTCCTTCTTCCATCAGTCGATTCTTTTTGTTCTTCCTCTCCCTGCTCCTTTTTCTCCTCTTTTTCCTTTTTTTCCTCCTCTTCCTCCTTTTTCTCTTCTTCCTCCTTTTTCTCATCCTCCTTTCCCCTCAGCTGTGATGAAGACGTCCCATCCTCTTCCTCTGTCTCAGCCACACTGTTTCTCTTCGTCTCTTCTTCTTCATGGGTTTCCTTCATCTCTGATGGAGATGTGGTTTCCTTTTTGAACACCTCCCTCTCCTCTTCCTCCCCTCCAAGTGCTCCCTGCTCCTCCTCCGTGGCGTCCCCCTGACTCCCCCCAGTCCGTGACTCCGGGTGTGTCTCCGCCCCTTCCTGTCCCAGTCCTGTGTCGTCCCCGCTGCTGGACTTCCTGTGACGGCGGGACGGAGGACGCCGCCTGATGGAGCCCCGTGGTCTGCCCTGGAGAGGGACCAATCACAGGAGAGGTCAGCAGTGACGTCATTAGTGATGTAACAGAGGTAATGAGTAGTTTCTGGCTCACCTTGTTGATGCTTGGCAGGATGTTTCCCTCTGTGGCTGAGGGTGGAGCCTCAAAGGAGGTGGGGCTTTCTGTGGGGGTGGGGCTGGTGGGGGTTACCATGGAAACCGGGGGTACGGAACCCGGAGAGGGCGGGGTGAAGCCAACAGGAAGCATCTTCAATCTGGGGCTCTTCAGCGGCGGGGCGGTGGGCGAGCCCAGTGTCAGGTTGGCCTGAGCACACAGAAAATGACATCACAGTAATGTCATAGTAACATCATAGTGATGTCAGAGCTCCTGGACTCACCTGGAGCTTCTCGATCAGACCCGAGTTCCTCTTGGGTTTGGGTGGAGACGAGGCGCCTGATGTGGGCTGAAACAGACAAAACCGTTCACCAGAAATCAAACCAGTTCCAATAAAACATCAACTTTCTGTTTCCTGGTTCATCCGCAGTTCAAATACAAACTTTAATGAAAAAACATCTTCTAACATGTTGAAAATGTTACCATGACAGTTTGGTACCATCTCCTTTGCCTTCTCCCAATGCTAGCTAGCATAGCCTGTTGTGAATGCTAAGGCTAGTTAGCATAGCTACTGATGCTGTCAGATAAACAGTTATTCAGTAACGGTCTGTTGTTTCTCCACCATTGGAACATTTAGCAGCATATATATGTAATTGATCAACAGCGCTAGGAAAAATGATATTGTTTATTAAAGTTAAATTTCAATAACTTAGTTTTTTGTTTTCGGGACAAAAAAATTTCATTTATTTTTTGTTTTGAGTAATTTTGCTGCTTTTGTTTTCTTGTATTTGATGTTTTTATGTATTTGTCTTATTTATATGTAATCTTTTAGTCTTTTATTGTCTTTCAGATGAGGTTTTTTTCTTATAAATTACGATTATTTAAATGATTTTTTTCTTAGAATTCTAAATGTTTCAGAATTAAATCTTCTCACGGTAATTAAATCTTTGAAATGTTTTAATTCCTAATCTATTAAAACGTGGATAAAGCCGCATTGATCTCTGTGAGGCTGTGATTGGCTGACGGCGTCTCACCTGGTTCTGCTCTGGGTTCGGCAGCTGAAGGGTCCGAGGCGGCCGCCGCCTCACAGGTTTTTCCTGGTGAACAGCAACATGACATTTAAACTGTTATATTCTCCATGTTTCCTGTGTATGCGCAGGTAACTCTCACCTGGTTCCCCACGGTGCCGCTTGGGTCAGGAGCCTGACCTTTGAACTTTCCTGCCAGTTCGGCCACAGAGCGGCGGGGCGGAGCCTCGTTCTGCAGGTAAGACACGGCAGGTCAACTTCCTGTTTATCCATCCATCCATCCATCCATCCATCCATCCATCCATCCATCCATCCATCCATCCATCCATCCATCCATCCATCCATCCATCCATCCATCCATCCATCCATCCATCCATCCATCCATCCATCCATCCATCCATCCATCCATCCATCCATCCATCCATCCATCCATCCATCCATCCATCCATCCATCCATCCATCCATCCATTGCACTTTGAGATTTCCATGTAAAATTAGTCATAAATAAAAATGCATTTTTCCATCCCTGTCCTCCAAACAGCATTGACCTCTGACCTCCTCAAACACATAGACAATCCTACACAACATGTAAAGAAACATAAACTTTTATAATGTTTTTTATTCACTATTCAATAAACATTCAATTAATTTTGCATAAATGCTGCGTCACACCATCTGACTTTTTTAGCGAGCCATGAGTTCTGTGATGGAAAATTTTATCACCAGATACATTTTTTCATCTCAATTCTCTCTTGGTTCTAAGAAAATGTGTAATATTTCATATTAATCACATCAGATTTTGTTTTATTCCCACAGTTTTGATGTTTTTTTTGTTCAGCAGCATCGGTTCCTTTGGTCTTTTTCTGGTTAGAAACTAGCTTCTTTAGCCTGAGGTGAATTTGACTGGCAGTCAATAAGAAATAACATTTAAATCATTTATTTAAACTTATGTTTTATATAAAAATTACTAAAAACATTAGACCAACGATATGATGAAAAATTTAAGATTAAAAAGTTTTTGAATCTTTTCTCCTCATCTTCTCTCCAGCTTTTTCAGGGCCCACAGCGCCTCCTGGTGGCCTCCACGTTTCTCTGAGCCACTGCAGCAAACTAATCTGCTGCATAGTTTTCATACTGAAATGTTTTTGCCGTTCATGTTTTACCCAGGGTTCATTGTAATCTTAAACTGCAGCGCCTTTAGATCAAAATGTCATTTTAGTTCAATAAGTGGAAAAACATCCAGACTGCAGAATCATTTTGGAGATAAACAGCAAAAGTCCAGAGGAAACGGTTCTGATTCTGGTTCTGTGTCCATCTGGACCGGACCCCACAGTGGGCGGGTGTTGCTGTCTCGCCCAGCTGTTGCCATGGCGACGGTCGGTGTCGGGCTCGGCTGAAGGCTCCACATAGCTGACATTCAGCAGATAATGAACTCGGCTTCACTCGGTGTTTCCTCAGAGGCAGGAAAGTGACGAAAGCGAGTAGCCGTTAGCCCACTTCCTGCTGCTGCTGCTGCTGTTTGTTTGAAGGAGGTTCTGGTTGTCAGGGTCGGTGCTGGAGAGGAATGGACCGGTCCGGCCCGGATCTGGACTTCTACCGCTCTATCATCTTACCTATAGCCGTTCACCAATAAACTGGATGATTTATTTAAACTGGAACAACGCAAATACACACTATATCTGATTCAGAGACACGCAAAATACAATAAATAACCAAAAAGCTAATAAATAAATAAAAACCATAAAACACAAATAACTTATCAAAAGGTAAATAACCATAAAACCACTATAAAGCCAGAAAACATTAAAGCTATTTATGCAACCAAAACATTAAATACAATCATAAAGCCTAGGAGAAAATACAGGTAATACATAACAAAAAACTATTATGGCCATAAAATCAATAAACCCAGTTAATGTATTTTTAAGAGCAATAAATGAGACATTTAAACCAAGAAATACACTCACAAAGATGTAAACAACCTTTCAACCAATAATAAACAGATTATTATATTAGCTGAATATCACCTACCTTAGCTTAGCTTGCTTTAGCTTATATCACATTAGCTTTTTCAAGATTAGCATATTTTACCTTATTTAGCTTGTTTTAGCTGAGAGTTATATTAGCTGTTAACTTTCCAAGCTGCATTTCCTTTCGAATATTTTAGATAAGCACTGCAAATAAATGTGCTAATACTATGGAAATATGTGAGTTTTCTGCAATCGATCAGTGATAAACTGCAGATTCCTCACCGAATTTCAAGCTTCTTTATGTTTTATTCTTTATGCCTCAGACTCGTTGCTGATCTCTGTCATCACTTTTCAGCCCTCTGCAGACATCATGAGTGTTTTTATCTGTAGATTCCAGATGAGTAAACAACGGCCATCTTTAATCAGTAATCTACTTCCTTTCAGCTCTAATAACTACCATGAGGGAACCGCTAACTGGTTGCTACTGAACTTTTTAAAAATAAAACCTTACATCCATTACAGTCTGAGGATCATAAAAATGATCTTTGACTTGCCATGTCATTAGAGATATTTATTGTGAAAATTAATTTGTTTTACATTTTTCTAATTTATGTGGTTGATGTCTTGATTAGGTCTCTTCTTGTTGAAGAGATTTTTGTTTTTATCTCAGTTGGAATTTCTGGTTAATTAAGCATTTAATACACGTTTCTGTTCAACTTTAGCAGTCTGAAAAACACAATTCAAAGCAACAGCTATGATTGTGTTGCTTCTACTATACTCATTTAATTAAGCTAAACTTACCATAGCATTTTAAAACTTGCTGTGTTTAGCTTAGCTTAGTTGGTTTTAGCTAAGTATGACCAACACCAGCAAAGGCTTTCTTAGTTTACCTTAATTTACCATACACCTTAGCTTAGTCTAGCTCAGCTTAGTTTAGCTAATTTTAGCTAAACATAGCCTACCTTAGCCTGTTTGAACTGACATCAGCTTTCTCTAGATTAGCCTATTTTAGCATAGTTTAGCTTGTTGAAGCTGAGTATGGTCCCTCCTGATATTATCCTAGGTTAATATTTTAACCTAGGATAAGTTTATGAGCTTACCTAAGCTCACATAAACTTAATTTAGCTTTGTTTTGTATAGTCCTACGTATCTTAGTTTAGCTAAAATAAGCTAAACTAAGATACACTGTGCTAAAGATACTAAGATAAGGTAGCTGAATTTTAAGGCTTATCTTACCTTAGCCTAGCTTTATCTCACTTTAGCCTCATCAGTTTTATCCTAAATTAGTTCATGTTATCTTTACTTGCCTTAGCGTAACCTGTTGGAATGTACATTAGAATATCTTAGCTTAGCTTATTTTGGTTTTCTTCTGCTCTTTAAACCAATATCTTGGCTTATCTTAGCTTGTTTTAGCTCTCCCAACCTTTGTAAAGGAAAATCTACTTTTAGTTAATTTAAGTCGTTTCAGTTTAGATTGAAGTTAGCTTAGGTTTTTATAAAAAACAACAGTGAATCTGACACACATACTCATCTGATCCCTTTTTTATATCTGTTTTTCTCTTTATGAAGTATTTGTTGTTGTATTCAGTTAGCCAGCTGCTAGCTCATTTTCACAGTGCTCTGAGAGAGCAGATTGTAAGTCGGTATAATTCACTATTTCTTATCGACTGTTGGATCTTGTGTATGTTTTGCATGGATAAGCAAAGCGTCTCTATATTCCCTAGATCTAGGTCTTTAGTTGGAGTTGATTGATTCAGATATGAAAGGCTGATAAACTAGCGTTGTGTTAACATGTAGCAGACATCTTAACAACAAACCAGTTTTAAACCAGATCTTTAGCCTCTTTCCCACCATCTTGTCTGAAGTAACTAGTTTGTTTCTATTCCTTCAATTGGATCAATGGAAACTTCTGTTCAACAAACAGAAAAACAGCTTTCGGTAGAAATCATGACTCATCATGTCTCATGTCCTGACAAGTGGATTTTTTCCTCTGGTTCGTAAACACTTCAGATATTTTCTGAAGAGAATCTTCAGTCTGGGTCCAGACTGGCGAACTGGATAGAACAGCAGAGAGTCAGGAGTTTAACAGTGGAGAGCATCTAAGGAAATTATGAAAAAGGCAGCTTGAAAACATCTGATCAGAGGCCTTTTCATTGTTCCTCATTTAGTTTTCAGATCTCCTTTCTTCTCTCTATGTCTCAATATTCCCACTAACTTCTCCAGAGCAGCAGCATCAAACTTTGATAAAACAGTCTCCTGGTGATCAGCCAACCTCAGAAAAACAACATGAACAAACATCGGCAGGGGAAAAATGCACTACAGTCAGTTTAAGGTCTGAACTTTGACTAGGCCATTGCAGCACCTCCATTGTGTTGATCTAGTCGTTCTGCTGCTGTTTTTGAGATCCTGATGCTATTCATGACCCAGACGGACTCACAGTGACTCCATAAAGGCATCATGGTCCAGTCCAGTCCAGGTTCGCCACCCCCACCACCGTGGAGGTTCCTTCTCACGAAGTGGGAACAGAAAAAGTGGGCGTGGTTTTTCAGATTTAACTCTAGTGTTTATGAAACGTTGAGCTGCAGTAGCGTATCGTCTGCTGTTGTTTGAGCATCGTGTGGTTTAACTTTACACTGAAAGGTTTGAATTTGATCTTTTAAGATCTCTGACTTCTGTTCTCTCTGGAGGATGCAGAACGTCACCACTGAGCATGTGCATCAGCTAACATCTGGGCCCTGTTCACATCTGAAACAGATGGTGTTGGAGGCAAAGAGAAGAGCTGATAAAAGTCCATGTTTGGTCTGAAAGGTTCGTGTTTCTGCTTGACACGTTGCAGGTTTGGGTTTTTGTCAACCAGATAGTTGATCAATGCAGAGCAGCAGAGGACTGAGAACGAAGCCCTGAGGTACTCCAGAACTGAGGAGCCAAAACTGCAGAGGAAAGCTACCAGACGTTTGTTTGTCCCGTTTTAAAGACGCATCAAGCAAACGTAGAAAATTATAAGAAGTTTTATGATGTTTGTGCCCAGATTTACGTCATCGCTACCTGACTGAAGGAGATAAACGTGTCAAATAATCTGACGACACCTTAGAATCCACAGCTGTAATGTCGACGAAACCTGATGCACGCTTTGGTTTCCTGTTAGCGCGCGCTCACTCTTCACCACCCAGTCTACCCGTGCAGGTCCTGAAGAACGAACAGAGTCATTTTCAGGACTCTGTTTCGTCTGATTCATGAGACGCTGCTGGGATTTCTGGGCTTTTCCACGAACGCCCAGCAGAACACAACAAACCCAGCAGCAACAGCCACTGCAACAGAAAGTTTGAGAGCTTTACCTCCATCCTGCCGGTCGTCTCTCAGCCGCCTCAATATGTCGAGTATGTGTGAAAGAGGGTGGGAGGGGTTGGGGTTAAATATAGCCGGGGTTACGTCTGGAGAGAGACCTCCGCTCTCTACTGGCAGAGAGAGAGAGAGAGAGAGAGAGAGAGATCATGTTCTGTCACATGGTGGCCATGTTTGTGTTGATAAACTCATTGATATCTGCTGCTGGACAGAGCTGATCTCAGCTCAGAATGAGAACAGCTGACCAAAAAAATGAACTTTTTCATGAAGCTTTTGGACAGTTTCTGTTCCAGAGAAACCAGAAAGGATTCAAAAAGGCAAAAGGATTGCAAAAGCACGGTAGAGGAGGAGTGGTGCAGCGGGTTATAGTTGAATGAATACATGAAATCTCAGTTTTAAATAACAAAAAATGATTATTTATGAAAACAGAGATGTTAGAAAGCTCTGTTTTTGTGTTTGTACAGGAAAGCAGTTTTAGGATCCAGTCTGTGATAAAAAAAAAAAGCAAAACAGTACCAATATTCAGACAGACTCAACTAAAGTTATGAAAACTGAAACTGGCCATCTGGGTTGGTTTGTGATTTAATGTAAATGATCAGGAAGTGATGTCATCAAAGGGGTGGTTGTCTCCACCTGCTCCTGTTTGTCTTTTGTTCTTTTAACTTTTACACTAAATTGATCAGTAGTTATGTTTCAGTCAGCCAATTTCCTCTGACCTTTAACCTCTAGTGGCTCACTGCATGTGAGCCACTGGACTCACATCCAGCTCTTTCAGTCTATCCTCTGTGACGGTTTTGAGTTCTGACCCACCTGGGCCTGTCTGGTACCAACAATCTGCTGTGGTGCTCAGCTCTAACTGACAAAGAGGAAGCTGCTGCTGCTGCTGCCAACCCTCCTCCCTCCTCAGCTCTCGGGTCTCTCTGTTGCTGTCATCATGGCCGTCTGAACCCAGCTGGAGGTTCTGTTGGGTCTCAGAGTGGAACCCTGAGGAACGAGCATGGTTCTGCTCGCTCCACGCATGAACTGCATGGACCAATCAGACGTGGCGGTTTGGCCGCACAGCAGGAAGACAGGAAGTGGTTGGAGGGGCGGAGTTAGCAGACAGGAAGAGACAACGATGATGATAGAGGAAACCTTATAAGGTGAAAAAAATCAGTCGCTCCCAGAAACAGGATGGAGATGTTGCTCAACACCAGCAGCTGACTGACAGAACCCGTCCAGAACCTCCAGAACACCCTCATTCTACCAGGAACCGAAAACATCCACAGAAACAGCTGCAGATGAATCACCATGGTTACGCGTAGAAACAGACTGAAGGTTGGATGAGTCGGTTTCTTCTGCCTGAAGTTATTTAGACTGAGAAACTGAGATGGTGGATGGAGAGATAAACTTTAAACGTCACACTGTCCTGAATCTGTACCTGACTCAGTACTGCATGGATGGATGGGGCGTGGATGACATGGGGTTACTCAGGTGGCCACTAGAGGCGCTGTTCCAGGATCAGGAGAATCTTCAGCTGTTAAATATCAAATCTGAAACATTTATTTCTCAATAAAATCTGTTTTTCTTTCTATTTTTCTTTCACTTCTTCATCCCAGAAAAGAATCCATGTTCCCGCCTCTGGCTCCAGAACCTGCTGGCTTAACTCCCAGTCCAGATACTGGTCTCTACTGGTTTCTGCAGTGGTCAGTGTGGCTCAGTGCTGCCACCTGCTGGCAGCGGAAGCTCAGTGCTGAGGCAGGGGAGGAAATCTTCATCACCTGATCTCACTATAATGCGTTCAATCTGTTCAAACTGGGATTAATGGCTCAGAGTCGAGTTTAGTGAATAAAAGTTTAATCTTAATCCATCATCTGGAGCAGCTGCATGTTTTCCATCTGAAACCAGAAAAAGTGCAAGAAACTGAAGAAATATTTACAGAAATAATAATAAAAACAAAACAGGTTGGGAATCTAAACAATCTGCAGGGAATAAATAATTTTATTCTTTCAAATATGTTTCTACAAAGAAATGAGGAAAAAAAAGAAAAACGAGTTCAATTATTTATTGTCTTAATTTTTCCAAGAGCAGAAAGGGATTTTCACAGATTGAGTTTTTATGATGGAGCTCCTCGCTGGTGTTTGACTCCTCCTCCTCTTCCCTGGGTGACGAAGACGATGCTCCATCTTGACCCGGGAGCCTTCATCTCTGGCTCACAGCGTCTGGACTGTCCCTCCGTTTCCTGAAGATGGTGTAGAAAGCTTTCTTCCTGCGGCTAACAGACGCCTCCAGACCGTCTGCTCTGTCCTTCCTCAGGTTGGATGGATGGACACCGGCTCCCTGTCCGATGCTGGATGAGCTGGACGAGGACAGGAAGGAGGCGCTGTTGTCCGCGGACATGTAGAGGGAATGGGTGGAGCAGGCAGAGGTGAGGGCGGAGGGGGAGGGGCCTCTCAGCTCCACCAAGCTGGAGCTCTTCTCCAGGCCTCCACCTCCTCTTCCTCCTCCTCTGTGGGCAGAGTTTTGATCCTGCAGGAGGCGGGGCCTGGAGTCCAGAAGATGGGGCCTGGAGTGATGCAAAGCGCGTGATTCGCTGAGAGACAGAGCAAGGGCGGAGTCAGAGTCTGAGCGGCTCATGATGTCCCTGAGAGAAAGAGGAGATGATCAGAAATGGACCAGAGCATTCAACACACCCCAGGTTCTCTGACAAATGAGGGGTCAATCGACCCGAGTGATCATTTAGAAACCCTAGAGGTCAACTGGAGACTCAATCAATCATGTTTATCTGGATAGCATATTTCAACAAGCCAATTCAAAATGCTTTGCATCGCAAAAATGAAGTCATAAAAACAACATAAAGTCAACAACTGGGAAATCAGTGACAAATATTACATTTTGACCAATGGCATCATCAACATCATCAATACACATTTAATTTGCTGGTGAATGGGACCATTTGTGATTTGCACTGACAGGGGTCAAAGGGAGACCTTGGGGAGTCATAGGGAGACCCTAGTGGTCACTACAGGGATCAATAGGATTCCCCAGTGGTCAATGAGACTAAAGGTCATTTGGGAGATTCTTGCGGTTCTTCAGAGAACCCAGGGGTCGATTGGAGACAGTAGGGATCAACAGAATTCCCTAGTGGCCAGTGGGAGACGCTGGGGGTCATTTGGAGACCTTAGGGATCCAGGGAAGACTCTTGCATTCATTCCATTAAGTCTCTAGTAACTTCCCAAATAAAGAGACAGATGGAACAGAACAGGAAGTGCTTTTATCCTGAAGAACCAGAACTGTTTTTTTCACATTATTTGCCTTTTTTCATTACATTAATGATAAGACAGAAGAAGAAGAATACCCCAAGCTGCCGGAGCGACAGCGTTGCCTCTGGCTGGCCACAGCGCCCCCTGGAGTCTGGAGGTCTGGAGCAGTATCCAGAGGGAGAAAGCGAGAAGATCGGGAGAGCAGAGCAGAAAAATGAGCGGAGCCTTCAGCACAGGAGGAAGACGAAGAGTTTGGCTGAGGACAGGAAGTGAGGTCGATGGAAGGGCGGGGCAGGGAGGAGGAGAAGAGAGGAGGGGCAAGCACAGGAAGGAACTCTATGTGGCCAATGGAGAGGCTGCGATTCTGCCGAGGGCGTCCAGTTGGCAGACAGGTCTCTGTGGACGAGCCACGACCACCCTGAGATAAGCCACACCCCTCAACTAACCTCTGAGAGCCAAACATCAACCCGGGGTCTCCTGCCCTCTGCCGCAGGGGCATCAGACTCTGAGCTGCAGGAGACAGGAAGAAAGTTACACTGAGTCTGTGCCTTTATTTATTTGGTTAAGAACCAATCAGCGATGGCTGTCAACCTGACTGTTTCCATGGTAACTGCGTGTCTGTGATGCCACTCAGAGGCCAAAGGTCGCTCACACGCCGATCCATCTGCCAGGCTGCATCTAATCAGGAGAGAGAAGCAGAGGTCAGCTGACTTCCTGTTTAACAGCAGGGGGCGCCGTTGCTCAGCCCGACTCAGACTGGCAGAAGAAGAATGTCAGGCTTACACTGCAACGTCCCCGGAGACAGGATGTCCTCGTCCATGTCGTCCAGGTCGTCTGACAGGAGCAGGTTCTGGGGGGTAGGAGGTCGCAGGCCCAGGAAGGACGGGTCAAGGTTCAGGGCGGCGGCCAGGGCTCCTAGACCCGGATTGTTGACCACACAGAACCCGGTCAGAGACTCGATCTGCTGCCAGCGGTGGAGCTTCTCCCTCAGAGCCGCCGTTACCTCAGCCAGGGCCTGTCTGTCCAAACCAAACCGCAACGACACGAGACAACAGGTCTTCAACTGTTAGCCGGACCGGAGCTACGGTACCAGCTGGTCGTGGGTCATGTGACTCACTTGGCTGAGAGGATCTTCTGGTCGACATCGTCCAGTGAGGAGCTGTGAGCCACGTGGAACGTTCCAAACAGAGAACTCCTCTTCTTCTTGATCTTCTCTGCCTGGAACAGAAAGCAAGGCGTCTTCTACAAACATGTTGGGTCGATAACATCACCGACCCACAGTGGGTCGGCTGATCTTCAGGTTTTGAGGCTCATTGGAAGTTAACTAGGACCAGAACAGAATCCCAACCAGAAGGATAAACCCAAAGGTTTCTGCCCGTCAATTTGTTCTGGTTTTTAGCAAACAGATTCTGTACATTACTTACGCAGTTAGTAACTATAGCAGCAATAATTTAGGTTTATCCTCTAATAGTAGGAAAAAAATCATTTCATTAAAAGTCATATTTTTACCATGCATTTATTGAGGTCACAAATTAAAACTAAAAACTTTAAATAAAATAAACATTTATTTCCAAATTAATATTTATTTTGTTTGAAGCTAAATATCTTGCTCACGAGCTTCTTAGTTTGTAGACTAAATATTTAGTTGCAAATAAATAAACAAGTTTACAAGTAAGTAAACTTGTTAACTAAATATTTGGATTAATTAAAATATCTAGATCACTGGCTAAATATCCAGTTTACAACATAAATATTTAACTTTTTCATGGTAAATGTATAGCTAACAAGCTAAATAATTAGTTTGCTAATTAAATATTAGCAAACAAGCTAATTGACGCGACAGTAGTGTGTCAATTACTACAGTGTGTTGGGGGCCCTCAGCCTGTGGTGATATGGGGCCTGTGGTGTTATGGGGCCTGTGGTGTTATGGGGCCTGTGGTGTTATGGGGCCTGTGGTGTTATGGGGCCTGTGGTGATATGGGGCCTGTGGTGTTATGGGGCCTGTGGTGTTATGGGGCCTGTGGTGTTATGGGGCCTGTGGTGTTATGGGGCCTGTGGTGTTATGGGGCCTGTGGTGATATGGGGCCTGTGGTGTTATGGGGCCCTCACCCCCTCCCTGGCTTGCAGCAGTTGCCTCTCTGCGTTCTGCTTCTTGTTGTTGTAATGCTGATCTTCCACTTCGTGCGTCAGCTGCAGCCACTTCTGCAGAGCTTCCGGCGGCGCCCAGCGCACCCGCGACTCCAGCTCCCGCTCCGCCTTCCTCAGTGCCATCCGGACCTGCGGGGGAGCGGTTGGCGGTGAGGGCCGGCTCCTCTGATTGGCCAGCGCGCGGTAGGGGGCGTTACCTGCTCCAGCTCCTGCTCGGCGTATTTCTGCCGGCTGCGCTCGTTCTCAGATCCCTCCCTCAGCTCACGGAGCCGCTGAGCTTCCTGCTTGGCCGAGTCGATCTCGCTCCGCAGCTCCTCCTCCACCTTCACCTTCTCCACCTGGACGCAGTGCTGCTGCTCCTGCGCCCGCCGCAGCCTGGCAGACACACAGCAGGTGAGAGAAGCAACAAACACTCCCTGTACTGGCAGGAGCACATTCTGCAACATTACACACTGTCTGTTTCCCTTTTCTGTCAGTCCATGTGGGGGCGCTGAGGGAAGGTTTGGTTCTCTAAGCATACCTGTCAAGTCTCTCGTTTTTATCAGGTAAACTATCGTATTTTACCTCCCTCTCCCGTATTACTTTTCCCCACAAACCAAAATCTGACAATAGCAGCAGACGGCAACATTTCCTGTATTCTCAAGTCCGAAGCAGGCATGTCTCTACGCCAGGCATTCGAAAGCAGAACTGGAGAAATCCCACTTTTGATTTGATGTTAGTTTTAATTTCTTTTCCAAACTGAGATGTCATTGTTACCATGGGGATTCTGGCCTAAGTGCTGCCTTATAAACCATGCTTGATTAATTTTGATCAGGAGCCTTTAATGGCGCAGCAAAAGCAAATGTCATATTTCTGAATGTTCATGTTCGTCTGGCGTCCCTCAGGGTTCTGGTTCGGTCTTCCTAATATTTCAGGTCGACCTGCTTCGTCTGTTTCTGTATTTTTAATAATCCGCTCTGCTGATGACTCTCAGTTATGTTTCCCTTGTCAGCCTAATGAGCAGAGCTGGACTCTTTGGTCCTAGGCCATTTTGACTGACTCACAGGAGTCATGTGACCAAGGCTGTTTCAAGTACGAGTCTGAAACTCTCCTCCTTGGTTTGACATCAGAGGACTTTTTCAACAACCAGATACAAACTAACAGCTGGTGATACGCTGATGTTTGATGCGTCATTTTCTTTTGTTCAGCCTGGAGTGAAGTTCACCCACCTTCTGCAAATCCAACAAAATTGGTGTCAAACATTTGTGCAGAAAAAACATTTAGTTTGTCTAATGGTGGTTGATCTTTGGCGGCCAACCACCATTAGAGGTCAACCAGAGTGTGCTGGTTGATCTCTACAGGTGGTTGACCTCTAAACCACCAGAGGTCGTTTAGAGAAAACCAAGAAGGAAATAGAGAACTGATATTCTGTTATTTGGTATATTAATATTTATAAATATTCTAAAATGATGGCAGCACAAATGACATTGAAACAAACATTTGACACCAATTTTGTTAGATTTGAGTAAATGTGTGGGGGCTGGTTGACCTTTAAACTTTCATTAAAAGCAAGCGCAGCAAAGTGTTTGACACCAGTTGTGTCTGATTTAGATAAGGTTTGGGGAAACGTCACGCAGGTTTCTGAAGGATCATTTCTTGATCCAAGTTGCAATTGATCAGATATTTGTTTTTCTGTCCTGAGCAGGAGGAAACCAGTCTGTGCTCTGCCTGCAGGGGGAGCTGTGGCGCCATCTGCAGAGGAAGTGGATGTGTATGACTATTTCTGGAGATGAAGGACAGAGATGAAGCAGCTGAATTATCCAAGAGAGGAAACAGAACTGAAGCCGGCCGTCAGCTGACAGGGAGCTGCAGCAGAACCGCTGGGCTCAGCGCTGCGGGCTTCGCTTTACTGTTCAGGACAATCAGCAGCTGTGCTGGGGCTGAAAATAAGACCGACAGCACAGGGCCTTTATTCAAACATCATGAGAACGTTAAAACATTTAGAAACAAACAGGAATCAGTCGTCTGAAAATGTTCAGGAGCAAAACTTTAGTTCACAAACCCAAACAGACCCAATTTTACATGAAACCACCAGGGGGCACACTTTCAATAAGATACTAATGCAGGAGCTAGTATTTCGTTTAACGTTTCTCTAACTTTGAAAACATTTAGCGCACTTAGTTTCCCTTAGATACATTTTTCAGAATAAATTCTAAAGCATAATTTACTTTCATGTTCAGATAAAGTTTGACAGTTTAAAATACTGACGTCACAAACTTAGCTTTCTAGTTGACAAAGTTAGTTTAGCTAACTTTGCCTTTATTACTTAGTTTGCGTCACTCAACTTGATTTATTTAACTAATTCTAATGTATCCTGGTTTTTCCTGTTTTATATTAAATCATCACAACTTATTTTATCGTCTTTTATTGTTTCTAGCTTCGCTTATTGTACTTTTGTTCTCCGTAGCTTCTCTTTCTGTTTTGTTCCTGTTCATGTTTCAGGTTAACCAGCTGCCATGTCATAATTTATGCTGGAATATGGGTCAACACAAACTCGTAAAGATCACCAGGAGACGTATTTTGTTCCTTATTTTGAAAGGGAAACGTGCCGAATGTGTTCAGGTGCTAAACTGGAAGTCAGGAGGAAAACTTTCAGACGGATTTAATTTCCCAAACTGTTATCCATTTGTTGCTAGGCTGCGCCTCAACAACTCGCGAACTGATCTGGAACATCTCCGTCTGCGTCTCTAACTCCTCTTTTTCCTCACACTTTTCACAACCGTTTTCTGCAGAAAAGAGGAACTGAGGGCTGCAGCTCGCTGAAACCAAGAGGAAACCAGCATGTTGCAACACGTTCAGTCTGCTGTACAGTAGCCTTTCCAACAGGTGTGTGTGTGTCTGTGTGTGTGTGTGTGTGTGTGTGAGAGTTGCAGGCTGAGTTGTTGGGTATTCTTTGCCCATATAAGGATTTCAAACAAAGCTCCAGCAGACGCTGTTCTCACTCGTTACGGGAGCATTTTCCTGGCTCCAGTTTCGTCATCATCTAAATTACATTTAATTGTGAAATAAATCAGATCTCGTGGTTTCAGAAACACAAACGGCCAGCGGACATATTTCAATGGCAACAGTGGAAGGTCGCAGCGTTTGATACACAGAGGTATTTTTAGCTGCAGGAGGGAGTATTTTCATCTAATTCTTTGTGTGGCTGTCATCTAAAAATAACCTGCAGTCCTTGTCGGCTTCAGGAGCAGAAAGGCTCTTAACTGGAGCTAATGCACTAACACCAAAGCTAACATTTCAGTTAGCCTGTCAGGGTTTTTGCTAGCTTTTATCATTGGACAAAAATAATGTGGTTTGTTTTTGTAAATAAGCCTAGCTTACTTACAAAGCGAACAGGAAGGAGTGTAGTAACAAGCTTGATCCTGTAGAGGGAGATGTGCTATTATGTAGCACATATTGTGTCATGGACGCAACATGACACAACAGGTTGTGTTGTGCAACAAGTTAAATTTAGCATTTTAGCACTAGCTTCCGCTAAATACAGTGCGGGTGTAGCGCTTTAGCATTTGCAAAGCTATTGTTTATGATTAGCGCTCTAGGATTAGTGCAGCTAGCTTTTAGCTAGCAGTAGCCACCTCTGGTTCAAACCTCATCTCTGTCTGATTCAGGAGCAGAAAACCTGGTTTCCATCACACCGCCACTGGTTTTATTGAGGTTTAATTAATCAGGCGTTCCTCAAGGCTTAATGTTTGGACTCCTTATTTTCATGACAAAAGCTTCTTCTTTAGTTCATCAAATTAAACTACAGTCATCTGGAGGGGAGAACCACAGCTGTCTCAGATGTAAACAAAGAGATAATAATAATTCTCCCTTGCATCCAGAACACCTTAGAGGTTCTGGATCGGGTTGACGTTCCTGTGGTTGGTATGGACTCACTTTGTTTGCAGGTCCAGCAGACTTTCCTCGGCCCTCTGCAGGCCCTCCAGGTCCTTCATCAGCTTCCCCATGTCGTCTCTGGACTTCCTGGTCTGGATGTAGGCGAACCAGCAGCCACCCAGAGCCATCAGCACCGACAGGCCCAGGACCAGGTCCTTCCACCGGTTCTGCCGTCCTGCTCACACACACACACACACACACACACACACACACACACACACACACACACACACACACACACACACACACACACACACACACAATGGTTTATAGGAGACAGGGATGAGATTCTCCTAAAAGTGCTTTCAGAAGCATCACTGAGCTCTAAGCCTGCTTGTTTTTAGACCAAGAGCAGCTAAAGAATTTAGTTTGGAATAATCTGATGGATTTCAGAGATTATCTTAATTTTAATCTCAGAAAGTTGAACTGAGTCGAACGAAGAACGTCAGTTCAGATCACTGGACAAATGTTTCACTGCTTAGGATGGATGGATGATGGTTGGATGAACAATTGGATGCTATTTTTAATCACATTATAAATATTTCAAATCCATTTCAAAATAAAAGCCCAGAGATGTGTGCCGTCACATTCGGAAGGGATTTTATTTTGAAATGTAGCAGGAAGTGGTAAATGCATTCTAAATGCATCACTTCCTGGTTATTAGAGTAGCAGGAGTTTGACAGACTGAAACCAAGAGCCATCAGAACCGGACCTGCTGGCGGTCCAAACAAAACCACGTCCAGTGCCTTGAGCTGCAGCTTCTGGGCGTGGCTCCGATCTAGAACCTTCAGCAGCGTCATGGTCAGAGTTACGTTCTTCACCGCCAGCCTGCGGGAAGACACAGGGAGGTCACACCGTGTCCGGTTCTGACCCAACCAGCCACCTGGAAAGCGCTTACCTGGGCAGCGCCTTCCCGTCCAGCTGCTGCATGCGGAAGCCGGCGGCGTACTGAGGGAGCTCCACGCTGAGGGACAGCCACTCCTCCACCTGCAGCGCCGTCCAGTTATACACTGGACATAGAACACCAAGGACCGGACCGGGCCGGGTCGTCAGAACTCACTGCACCAGGTCCAGGCCCGGCGCAGCAGCATCTTATCATACTGACTTCATTATTAATACAGAGAAGCAACCCAGAAGGTTCTGGTTCTGAACCCAGAAGGTTCTGGTTCTGACCTTCGGACTCCTTCCAGGCACTCCACATGTCCTCCAGGCTGATGTGCGGGTCGGCCCGGTGGAAGCTGCGGTGCTTGGCTTTCGGGTTGCGGTCCTGTAGGTCCTCCCTGAGGAACTGAGCAGAACTTTTTCAGCCCGTGTCCCGAGGACGAGTCCAGAGGTCAGGTCCGGTTCCGTCTCACCTCGTCTGTCTCCATGGCGTCCACGGTGCCGTCTGCGTCGTCGTCCATCAGCTTGTGGATGCTGCGGATCGCCTCGAAGCTCAGGAAGGAGTTCTGATCGCCGCAGAGAGGCGGGTCCACAACGCACAGACCTACAGAACCAGGCAGAATCATCAGAACCAAACAGAACCAGACTAATGTGTGTATGGAAAGCCAAAAAGGACAAAATTCAATAAATGTCCTGTGAAATAATGCGCAGCAATAAATTCATTTAAATAATCATATTGTGATTTAACTCTTTATTTACGATTCATTGCTAGAGACTTGGAGGGAATGTTCAGGGTCAGAACCAGAACCTCAGCGCCGGAACAAGAGAATATATCTGTCCATCTTAACATCCTTCACTTCCTGAGTGGGCGGAGCTGACGACACATCATGCACACAGTTGCTGCCGCTTCATTTCCTGTGACATCATCAGCATGTCATCTCCAGGAAGCTGTGGTTAGCTGCCAGCGGCTAGCTCCCCACGCCAACAGCTGCTGCAGGCTCCACCAGCAGCAGGGCGGAGGAGGGGTGATGCTGCGGGCTGCCGGACCCGGCCGAGTCAGAACCAATAACATCCTAGACGATCCTGGTCGCCTTAAGCAAACATTAACTCAGTCTCAGGTTTCTGTGCTGTTGAGTCTTCCTGGTCGAAGACCAGAACCAGGAACTAGAACCTGATGAGCCAGAACCAGAAACCGATGAACCAGAACCAGAACCAGAATTTCTGGTAAAAGCACTGCAAATGTAGCGATGTGATGTTGTTACACTAGATTGTTAAGTGGGAGGGTGTTCCGATGGGAAATTCTGAGCACCGGCAGCTTTATTTTGAAAGGACGACAGATCCATTGTAATCCAGCGGGTAACTTCCTGTCTCCAAATTATTATTTTTATTAAACTTTCATGTGTTGTAAATAGAAATGGGAATTATTATTGTTGCTGTTGAACATATTTAGTTCATGGGTCATTATTTCTAGTATCAGTTTGGAGTTTAAAAATATAAATTAGTGGATCATACCATTGTAGGCTGTGAAAGGTTTTCCCACACTCTCGGTCGCGCTCTTTCTGTTCGGATTCCGTGGGAGAAGGTATGAAGTTTCGTTTTTGTGTTTAATAAGTGTATGTTAGTGTATTAAGTGATGGTTTTATCACAGTTTTTTTGTAAAATAATGTGTATTGTTATTGTAGTATAAATTAACCTGTTAAATTAAGGCTAGTAGCTAACAGTTAGCTAGCTGTTTTATACATGAAACATTGCTAACAAATCGTATGTGCATGTGCTGAAGATAGTATTGTTCATGGTTGAACAGGCGCTGTGCGGGACTGAAAAGTACACTGTTCTGATTGATACTATTTTCTGCCATTTGAATGCAGGTATGTGATGTTTCATTACTATTTATGGTATTTTATTTGGTTTTCATTAATGTACTGTTTAAGGTTAATATGCCCATGTTTGGGCTCAGTTACTTATTAATGCAATTGTTTTTATTTCATAAAGTAAATGTGTTACTTTACTTAAGTCACACGCACTTGCGCTCTTTCTGTTCGGATTCCGTGGGAGAAGGCGCTGTGCGGGACTGAAAAGTACACTGTTCTGATTGATACTATTTTCTGCCATTTGAATGCAGGTGCATTAAAATCATCTGCACATCAGCTGTTGTTTGGCTTTTCTTGCCTCAAAAAGACACAACGCAGGATTAACTACGCTACAAAACTGGTGCCGTGACCCGTCGTTTGGTCAGCTGGAGCCGACCACCGGTGTTGTTGGACGACGCCTTCTGGATCCATCCGCACCTTGGAGACACTGTCGGCGTGGAGTTCCTCAGACACTATTGGTTGGGATTTTCTGTCGTTTTTCCTGGTTTTTACACTGGGCGTGTTCATTCCTAATTCCCATAAAGGGCAACAGTAAGGTCTCCTCATGGAGGGTCAGAATGTGAATAACATATCAACTCCTAGTCATGGGAACGTTACCTATTGGCAGAGGGAGAGGAGTCTTGCAGCTGGCAGCTGCTATGCAGTCTACTCCAGGAAACCCAGGGATTTTGGGTTCGAAATTTTCTGGGTCTGGGAGGCAAAAGAGGCTTGATGACCTGCCTTGTCAGACTTTAAGTTTCACTCCGGGCTTGAGCCCAGTGATTCCTCCATCCGCCCAAGTGTTTCCACCCGATGGAGAAGCGACCTCAGCTCAATTAACTGATCTAATCAGGTCCATTGGGTCAGAGATAGGAGAGTCTATCAAAATGTCCTTGATGCGAATGCTGATTCGGAGCCTCCACCTGTCTCAACCCCGGAACACTACAAGAACACTTCACAGTCATTTCAAGGTGGTACTACTGTTATTGATGCATCAAAACTTAATCTGGTGTTACGCTCTGATGTTGATTCCACCCTATTTCAGGGGTGACAAATCTGATAAATGTTCTGTTTTTGAGTGGGAAGATCTCATGCAGGCATACCTTAGACAGAAAACTTCCACAGACGCTGAACAGGTAGGAGTGGTCATGAACAGATTGATGGGGAGGGCAAGAGATGTCACTAAAGTTTGGATGCGTAGTAATGCAAATGTTACTGATGTTTCTGTTATCTTTAGCATCCTCAGGCAACATTTTGGTGACACTATTCATTCAGATCTACCTTTAGCTGACTTTTATGCTAGCACACCATACACAAACGAGGGACCTCTTGATTATTGGATACGGCTTAATAAAGCCGCTGAGGTTGCTGAACGGTGCTTGGCCAGTAAGGGGGAATTGATGACTGACCTCAGTTCGCACCTGGTGCTCATGTTCATTCGCCATTGTCCTGACAAAGCTGGCGCTGGTTTTTAAAACTAAGCCTTCTCGCAACTGGACGGCGAGTGAAGTCCAAAACCATTTGGATGGGTATTTGAGAGACCGTATGGTTGTTCGAAGCCGTGGGACACAGAAAGTGGCGGTTGCCGAGCTTTCACATGAGGGGGTGGCTGTCAATGAACAAGCTGTGTTGCCCACTTCTAGTGTGTCCCAGAGCCAGATTGTTCCAAAACAGCCATTGAAAACACCACCATGGACAGGTCTTAAGTCTGCTGGAGACTGCTCTTATCAGTAACACCCAGGCTATCAGCAACAGACCCAACAAGCAGATCTCTAGACGCTCACAGAAATGCCAGGTTTGTGGCAACCTGCAACATGACACTAGGTCACATTGTAGGATGCATAGATTATGCTTTCGATGTTTCTCTCCAGAGCATATCAGTGTTCACTGTACTCAAACTCAGACACCTCAAATGCACACGATCAGTCAGAGACAGACTGGTTCAACTCAGGAAAACTAGATGGCCCTCATTTAGCGGGGGATGGTGTGGGCCTCTGTGGTGTTTCCTCCAATTTTGATGATGACATTCAGACTGTGTATGATGGCTTGTGACACAGTATCTAATGATCACACTGTCATTTTCCAAAATGTGGCAAAACTTCCTATCAGTGACAGCCTGTTTTTCACTACAGTGCTAGTTGGCAACAAGATTGAGCTGCGGGGGATGTTGGATAGCGGGTCTATGGCTACATCCGTACGTGCGGACATGATCCCTCAGCTACGTGAAGCGGGAGCGATGATGGGAGATGTAATCCCTCCCACTAACATTATTCTTGTTGGGTGCGGTGGCAAACAGACTGTCCCGGTGGGCATCTGTGAACTGAAACTTAATCTGTTTGGGTTTGACTATGTTGTTCCAGTTTTGGTGGTTGATGGTCAGGCCGATGAGCTCATTGTTGGCACAAATGTGATGAAACCGCTCATAAAACAGTTTAAGTCTGATGAGACCTATTGGCGGATTTTGAGTAAACCGGATTCTGGCTGTTTGGATGAAAATAGCCAGTTTGTCAGATTTTTGGCCAATCTTGAAAGGTGGAGAGGGGAGGAAATTCCAGAAAAAGTCGGGACTGTCAAATTGAAGAAGGCCGTGACTCTTGAACCTATGAGTGAGCATGTGGTGTGGGGCCGCCTCCCACCTAAGACTGAACTCTCTGTGGGGAGTACTGTTGTTGTTGAACCGAGCACTTCACGCTGTGTGAACCGCAGTGTGATGGTCGGTAGAGTGGTTACTCCACTTTGGGGAGGTGGGTGGCTTCCTGTGAAGATCATCAATCCTACTATGGCTCCAATTGTGTTGAGAAGGAACGCTAAGGTAGCTGATGTGTATGCATGCATTGCTTTGGAGGATTTTGATGGTGGTTCGGAGGTGAGAGTACATCAGAATGTGGGTAGGGCAGGCAGCTCTCATGGCAGCCTTACAGCCGAGTCAAGTTGCAGTGTCAATACAACAGGTGGATCTGGCAAGTTGGCTGATGTGGGGCTGCAGGATCTGTCCATTGGTGCCTGTGAAGTTTCCGAACACTGGAGGGAGAAGCTGACTGACTTAGTTGTGAAGTATGAAGATGTTTTTCAAGACATCACTTGGACTGTGGCAAAGCTGCTGAATTCTGTCATCGCATCAGGCTTACCGATGAACGCCCTTTTCGCCTGCCTTATCGTAGGCTTTCTCCTGCTCACTACCAAAAGTTGAGAGACTTTAGATGATATGGAAGAGCGTGAAATTATCAGGAAGTCGAGCAGTGAGTATGCTTCTCCACTTGTTCTTTGCTGGAAGAAAAATGGTGACTTGAGGCTCTGTACGGACTTCAGATGGTTGAACGCTCGTACAGTCAAAGACGCGCACCCGTTACCACATCAAGCTGACATTCTTGCAGCTTTGGGAGGTAATGCATTCTTTAGCTCAATGGACTTGACTTCGGGATATTACAATGTCCCTCTTCATGAGGATGATAAGAAATACACTGCTTTCTCCTCTCCTCTCGGATTGCATGAGTATAACCGCATGCCACAGGGTCTGTGTAACAGCCCGGCTACTTTTATGCGAATGATGCTCACCATTTTTGGTGACCAGAACTTTTTGAGCCTTCTTTGTTACCTGGATGATCTGCTGGTTTTTGGCAAGTCTGAGGAGGAAAGCCTGCAGAGACTTGAGATGGTGTTCCAGCGGTTAAGGGAACACAACCTAAAGCTGTCCCCATCCAAGTGTCAGTTTTTGAGAAAGTCAGTGAAGTTCTTGGGTCACATTGTTACAAGA